GACAGTGGGAAAAGCCCCGAAATGAAGGCTCTGCCGGCCTGGCCTCACTGCGATCCTTCTCAGTCACCAGGCTGTCAGCCAGGGCGGGCGCAGCACAGGAGCCTCAGAGCTGTGGCCGGACGTGACCCCGTGCGGTGACCCCAATGCCTGGAGACCACCCCAACCCCGGTGCCGTGACTGGCGCCCCGAGACCCTGCGCCTGTCTGGCTCCCCAGCCCCCCAGGTCCCAAAGCCCCCAGAGCAGGCTGCTCCCAGCGCCCACGGAGCCCTCCCCTGCGGCCTGGCCCGCTGGCTCCCCCAGGCCTCGCTGGGACCGAATCCTGAGAGCTGCCTCCATATTCAAATTGTGCAGCGGCTTTCACTTCCCCTGGCCCTCTCCGTGCCGGAGCGCATTTGCCTGAGGCAGCCTCTGGGGCAGCTGGGCCTCCGGTGTGGGAACTGATCCCCAGGCGAGGCCGCGGAGCGGAGTCCGGGAAGGTCCCCCCTGACCTCAGTGCCCACCACCGCCTGCCAGGCGCAGAGGGACGTTGGTGGCCGAGGGGGTGGATTTCCTGCAAATAGGGAAGGAGGCGGCGCCCGCGGTGGGTTCTGGCAGGATCCTCCTCCTCCCGGAGAAAAAGAGGAAAAGAGGCAAATGGCTTTCCTCTTGCTTCTGCTTCCCTGAAGAAGCTGCGTGCCTCATTTCCTCCGCAGCTGGAGAAACCTCCTTGTGAAAGCCAGTGTGCACACCGCCCCGCCTTCCAGGCCGCGTTTACATTTTGGGATCCGGCCTACCAGTGCCCAGGCCACGGCCCCGCCCGGAGCAAGCTGCCGCCCATCACCGGGTCTTCCCTCGGGGAGCGTGTGGCCTCCCAGGCCCTGAGGGCCAGGCGGATGTGGTTCTGGAAGGTTCTGGTGGAGGACTGGAGGCCTCCCAGCACTGCCTGTGCCCACATCACCAGCACACACGCTCAGGGCCCGAGGGAAGCGGGCAGCTCCCACCCCAGCGCCTGGGACGCGTGGGGAGGAGGTGCCGGACTGTCTCCGGGCGAGCTCAGAGGGTCTGCCCTGGGTCTGCACTCGGAGGGCGCGGAGGCTGACGGGGAGGGCCCTGCCCTCCACCCCCTCCTCCTGTCCGGGAAGCACTGCCAGGTACAGGGAGTCAAGGCCCTGGTCCCACAGCAGGAATCTCCCAGAGCGTTTTGAGAATCCAGGAAATTAATCAGACATTTTCTATAAATGTGAGTGAGGTACGTTAACTGACAGAGGTAAAGGAATGTACCAGGGAGCTCCTAGCAGATGAACTGAACATTTCCTGGCGTAGAGCTGGAATTTTTTATTTATTTATTGATTTTTCACAGAGAGGAAGAGAGAGGGATAGAGAGTTAGAAACATCGATGAGAGAGAATCATCAACCAGCTGCCTCCTGCACACCCCCAACCAAGGTACATGCCCTTGACCAGAATCGAACCCGGGACCTTTCAGTCCCCAGGCCCATGCTCTATCCACTGAGCCAAACCCGTCCCGGCTGGAAATCTTTTAAAGGCAGGAACATTGCTGGGACCACTGGCCGCTGGAGCCCTGGAAGCTGAGGGGCGCGCGCCACCTAGTGGTGAAGGGGTGCACGGGCCTGATGCCAGCCTGGCTTCCCAGGACAGGACCAGCCCCAGGAGCATCTCGCCCAGAGGGTCAGGCTGAGCCCTGGGGGGCAAGACATTTGGCTGCCCAGCAGTGAGGGCGGGACAGGCTGGCTACAGGTTATTGGCTGCTGGTTTGTCTTCAGACACCCCGGGCCTGTCGCTGTCTGTGCTGCCTCCTGAGAGCAGTCCTTGCACCAACTTCGCTGACTCTGACTCGAGCAGGCAGCTCCCTATCCAGGGGCAGTGGCCTCTCCTAACTGGGCAGAGGCCCCAGGCCCGGACCCCCTGGGGGTCCCCCCGACCTCTCTGTGGAGCTCCCCCGGGCCCTGCCCCTGCCATGGCCTCAGGTCCTCATTTCTCGGCAGGGAGGGGCCTTCCCCGCCTCCCGCCTGCACCCAGGGGCCGGGTCTGCGAAGTGAACGACCAGTCGTGTCCACGGAGGGTTTGTGACCTGCTGGATTTTACATGGAGTCTGGGCGGGGGGCGGGGGGCAAGGACTTCAGAGAAAGACCAATTACCCAGCTTGGAGGCTGCCGACCACGCAGACAAAGGTCAGGGTCCTGCTCGTCTCCCTTTGCTGACCAGTGGCGAGTCCCCCCAACACCCCGAGACCCAGCTCGGAGGCCCCGCCCCAGAAGGTGCTGCGTGGAGCGGCAGCCACGCTTCGGTGAGAGAGATTCCTGGCGGAACGGACGAAGCCCACCAGCCAGTGGGTCACATCCATCTTCCCACCCAGGACACGCACAGGCTGTGCCGATGCGCCGGTACCGCTGCCGTCACAGGGAAACGGGGAGGGTGCCAGCGCCCTCCATCCTAATTTTTGCAACTTCTTGTGGTCTGAGGTTTTCGAGTAGAACATGGTTTAAGTGAATAAAAAAGATGGCATTTTAATGAGACCAAAAGAAACGTGGGTGAGCCGGCGGGTAAGGGTGGGGCGCCGGGCAGACCCTCTCCTGTCTACCTCCCCCGACGTTTCTGCCGGTCCGTTTCCCACACATGCAGCCTTCTGTGGGTTCCTGAGTTCACGCCCGTGGAGTCTCACCCACAGCTCTGTGCGGACCCCTCCCCGGCCCGAGGCCTCGTCACCGAGGGCCCCCATGGGGCCGAGGCTCCGAACCGCTCCCCGAGGTTCTGCCGAGGATGCAGCCCTCTGCTCTCCCTGAGACACCGGGCTGGACCACAAAGCTGTTTGAACAGACATTAAAGCACCTTATTCTCCAATACCACCCAGGGCTCCAACGTCACACCGGAGACGGAGGAGGAAGAGCGGAAAAGTGTGAACATATATGAGCCGGCCCCTGGAGTTCCCACTTCCTCGCTCCCAGTCACTCCTCGTGTTCTTAGGAAACATCTTCTTGTGGAAAACAAAGCACAGGAAGCGTTAAGCGTTAAGAAGAGACAGGAACACAAAGACGCGAATTCCAGAATCTCAGCGGTTACAGAGGGTGAGCAGAAGTAGGCTTCTAGCTGTTTGCTTGGGAAGTCATACAAGACTCTACTGTCCACACACTCACAACTGGAAGCCGCCTTCTGCCGACCCTGCTTTATACCGAGGCCCCACCCGGGCTCTGCGCCTGGGCACACTGGGCCTCCCCAGCTCAGCTGTCCTTCAGACTTCCTCCCGCTCCCACCGGATAAGTAATCTCAGAGGCGATAACATGCATTATCAAGCTACCAGGGAACTGGCGCCCTTGCTTTAAAAAAAAGTGTCCTAACTTCTCCAGAACATTACAAAGTGTCCTAGCCCCACATGCATGGGCACACCTGATGTTGCAAAGGAAATCCTACACTGAATCCCGTCTCAGAGGCATTTCCGCCCAATGCCTCAGCCTTTAGCAGCGTCTTAAGCAACAGGTCTGCCTGAGTTCCCCTTGCTAATCGCCTATTGCGTGTGGCTGCAGGAAAGACAGGCCCCGCTCCTTTCTTAACAGCGTTGCTCAACCACCGCGTTACACGCTGGGCGTGTCCCTGCCTGTGGAGGGCACGGGGGAGGGCCCTCGCCCCTCGCCTGAGGCGGCGATGCCAGCCTGGTCTCTCGGCCCACTCTCGCCAACCCGATGGCTCCAAGTGAAAAGCAGAAAGATGCACCTAATCCAGAGAACGTGTGTGAACTCCAGGCAGCAGTGAGGACATGAGGCTCAGGTACCGTCTGCCCCCACACCCAGCGTGGACCGAGTCCGCGAGAGCCAAGCAGGGCTGGCTTTCCCCGAAGCACACAGGGTTCCCGAAAACGCCTTCCATTCCCACGCGGTGGCTGCACTTTCCCATCTTGTCCAGGCCGGCCGGAACAATGAGATGCTGGCTTATTTAGTTTGCATCTAAGCTTATCCATTAGAATAGATTTATCTGCACCATTTCCCTTAAATTGCAATCGCGTCCTGGTTTTACAGCAATTTTCTGTATTTTATGAAATTGTGCTTCCGGCGGCTTATCCTGTATTTGCGTTAAGGCGCTGCGCAGGGTCAGAGAGTATGCGCGGCCACCGGCTGTTTCTCCCGATGCAGTCGGCCTCACCTGGCGCCTGTAGGGAAAAGTGGGCTCACAGGTCCATGGTCACAGATGAACGCCACGCATATGTACCGCCTGCTCACAGATTCCTTCGTGAAAGGGGTTCTGCCACCCGGCTTCCTGAAGTGAAGGTGAAATCTGTATGTGCCTCACAGCTACTTTTCAAAGCTCAGTCTGCAGTCGGATGAATGACTTTGGCTCAGGATTCTGATATGAGGTGATTCATAGATTATTTAGCATCTGGTCACTGTCCTCTCAGCCCGTGTCTATGAGCGAGGCTGTTTTCTGAGGGTGGACCGCTGGGCTTTCAATGCTCACCCCTTGCCTCTAGCAAACCTATTAGTACCAGAACAAACAAGAAGCCACAGCTTACTCACTCAGCTGCACGTTCTATTTAAAAACATTATTTCCCTGGGTCTACAAATCACAGAGCGCATCACTGTTGGGAAGTCACACGGACGCTGCTCGTCGGCGGGTGGCGTCCGCTCACCTCGCTGCCTGCCTGCCGGTCCTCTGCTCAGGCCCGGCGGGCGGGCGGGCAGGCGGGCGCAGCCGGCCTCGGCATGGACCGGAGCCCGCCTTCTCCTCGGGGTGAGTGTGCCTGGCACCCGCGTGGTTTTTAAAGCCGTTTCATAAACCCCGTAAACAGCTCACCTTCTCAGGCTCGGATGTGTAGTGTTTTCTCACCTCCCGAAGGTGTCAGTGAACTCACTGGTGTGGCGCTGACACCGGGGAGAGAAACCTCTCCTGGCTGTCAGGACCCCACTCCTCCCAGAAGCTGGGCGCACCCCCCACCCCAGCCAGGCGCGGCCCGCCTGCCCTCCACGTCTCACTGAGCGCTCGCAGCAGCATCACACTCCTCCGGTGTTTTAGTAACTTCCAGTGTTTAATTCCACATTTTGATGCTTTTGGCTCCAGGCTCAGAGGTTACTGACTAGTAGGAAAGATCAGTGAGTAGGCAGTCAACATAGTTTCAATTATAGTGAACAGAAGGAACACAGCCCAATGTCCTTCCCTCACTGCACTCCAAAGACCGACTTCCCGAGGCTGTCACCACGACGGAGTCCAGGGCCGTGTAGGGAAAGATGCTGCCGATGAATGCTAACAGGAAACGGAGAGAAGTGAGGGTACGGGAGAGAGTGAATGCTAACGGGAAACGGAGAGAAGTGAGGGTACGGGAGAGAATGAATGCTAACGGGAAACGGAGAGAAGTGAGGGTACGGGAGAGAGTGAATGCTAACGGGAAACGGAGAGAAGTGAGGGTACGGGAGAGAATGAATGCTAAAGGGAAACGGAGAGAAGTGAGGGTACGGGAGAGAATGAATGCTAAAGGGAAACGGAGAGAAGTGAGGGTACGGGAGAGAATGAATGCTAACGGGAAACGGAGAGAAGTGAGGGTACGGGAGAGAGTGAATGCTAATGGGAAACGGAGAGAAGTGAGGGTACGGGAGAGAATGAATGCTAACGGGAAACGGAGAGAAGTGAGGGTACGGGAGAGAATGAATGCTAAAGGGAAACGGAGAGAAGTGAGGGTACAGGAGAGAAGTGAGGGTACAGAAGAGAAGTGAGGGTACGGGAGAGAAGTGAGGGTACGGGAGAGAATGAATGCTAACGGGAAACGGAGAGAAGTGAGGGTACGGGAGAGAAGTGAGGGTACGGGAGAGAGTGAGGGTACGGGAGAGAATGAATGCTAACGGGAAACGGAGAGAAGTGAGGGTACGGGAGAGAGTGAATGCTAATGGGAAACAGAGAGAAGTGAGGGTACGGGAGAGAGTGAGGGTACGGGAGAGAAGTGAGGGTACGGGAGAGAGTGAGGGTACGGGAGAGAGGGTACGGGAGAATGCTGTGGAAACACCTGGAAGCACTGTACCCAGCTGTTTGCAGTGCTTTCCCAGAGGGGAGGGCACAGTCCTTTCTTCCACAGCGAACGTGTCCATTCGTACAGCAGAGTGCGCCCTCAGACACCTGCAAATGTGTTTAGATACCAATACCTCGCTGTCACCTAGTGTCATACACAGTCAGACAACACCTGCCCTAGAAAACCATGCACCTTCAAGCCCACAGTGCATCTGCTAGTGGGCCACACTTTCCCCCTGTGAACGTGTTTTATTAGCAGGTCTTGGGAAGAGAGGACAACAGCAAGAGGTCAAAACCCGAAGTAAAAAAGGGCACTTTCCCTCTTAAGCAACAGGGAACACGCCGTCTCAAAGGTAACCACAGCCCAGCCATAAAAGGTACGTGTAAGTGACACACCCTCGTTTATACGTAGGACTGACTGTGTTTCAATCTGGGCTCACTACACCCTGAAAAGAAAAGTGTTAGAAACAAGACCCTCACGTTGGGTGTGACCAGGTACACATCAGGGAGTAACTGGAAGAAAACCAGGCTTCTAGCAGCACAGGCTGTCAGCTGCAATGGCTCCACCTGCGGTTCTGGGTTCCGGACACACACTCCCCAGGGTCCGGAGCTCAAGGCCGGGAAAGACTGAGCCACACGGTGCCTCTTTGACTGGGGGGGCCTGCTCACTTCCCACAGCCGAAGGTTCTGTTCCAGTTCTCGTAAAGCTCCAAGTCCGTGGGAGACACGCTGGGTCGCACAGTCCTGAATGCCTTTTCGAAGTCCCCGTAAGCGATGGGCGGGACCTGGTCGGCCGTGATGGTGGCGATGTCGGCGGCCTGTAAGCTGCGGATGGGGCCGAGGGACGCCTCCCGGCACAGTTGCGTCATATCGGCGCCCGAGAACCCCTCCGAGCGCTGCACCACCAGCTCCAGCTCCTCCTCGCGGAGGCAGCACTGCTCCCGGGACATCAGGCGCGTCACTATCTGCCTCCGGGCGGAGGCCTCCGGGAGCGGGATGTAGAGCCTCTTCACCAGCCTCCTGCGGGCCGCCTCGTCGATTTCCTGAGGCCGGTTGGTTGCTCCCACGACTAGAATGCGGTCTTCGGAAGACGTGGTGGCTCCGTCCAGCTGCACCAGGAACTCGGTCTTGATCCTCCGAGAGGACTCGTGCTCGCCGTCCGCCCGCTGGGACAGCAGGGAGTCGATCTCGTCGATGAAGATCACCGCGGGCTGCTGGCACCGCGCCACGGCGAACAGCGCGCGGACCATCTTCTCGCCCTCGCCCACCCACTTGGAGGTCAGGGAGGAGGCGGAGATGCTGAAGAAGGTGGCCCCGGACTGGCTGGCGATGCACTTGCCGATGAGGGTTTTCCCGGTCCCAGGCGGCCCGAAGAGCAGGATCCCCTTGGGCGGGCCCCGCAGGCCCGTGAAGATGTCGGGCCTCAGCATGGGCCACACGACGATCTCCTTGATGGTGGCCTTGGCGAACTCCACCCCCGCGATGTCGTCCCAGGTCACCGGCGGCCCCTGGTCCATGATCTCACTCATGATCAGCTCGATCATCTTGGGCTCCAAGCTCTTCAGACGCTCGTCCACGGGGGGCGCTGGCTCTGCGGGCCCGGCACTGTCGGGCTTGTACTGCACCCCCCCGTTCGCGTCCCCCCCCTCTGGCTTAGGTACGGGAGGAACAAACTTCCCAAAAATCCCTCGGGACCGACTGGCTCCCAGGCACTTCTTGCCACCGCCACTGGAGGACGCCGCCGCCCGGGCAGCAGGGTGGTGCTTTTTCTGCTGCTCCACCCACAGCTGCTCCTTTGCGGTTTTGAAGGTCGGCAGGCCACCTTCCTCCCGGGGGCCGCTGCCCTCTGTCTTCCTGAGGGCCCTGCTCGGGGCCGGGGCAGAAAGGGCATCGGCAGGGCCAGCGCCGTCGAACGTGCTCCTGTCCCAGGGGCCGTCACTGCCGGGAGGGGCGAGAGGCTGCTGGGCCAGGAACAGACCCAGGCCCGGGCTGGCTTTGGGAGTGCTGCCGGTTTCCTTCCTGACGTTTCCAAATAGCGGGGTGGCCCAGTTGCCAAAGGGTGCGGAGGCCGTGGGACACGTCTTGGGGGCGTTACTCGCCACAGGGGGCTGGGCACTCAGAGGGCCCGAGGGACGGCTCTCTGGGACGCCCGGGGCCCAGCCTGGCCCGTGAGCTGGCTTAGCCAATGGGGCGCTCTCTCCAGAACCAGCACCAGCGCTAACCGCGGGAGGCTTGGGGGCCACGGCCCGGCCGGGGATCACCGCCGAAGGGTCAGCCGCGCCCAGCAGGGAGCCGCGGAGCTCCTCGCCCGCCCGCATCATCGCCTGCACGCTGGGCATCTGGAAGACACTGCTCACCGACAGGCCCGACTGCCACTGGCCACTGTCCGCCTGCTGGCACCTCGCTAAAGTTAAGACGCTCTCTGCGTAGTTATTCAAGCCGGTTTCAGCGTTGTCAGAATCGACGATGGCCGAGTACTTCTCTGCGTACTTTCTGAACAGCCTGGAGGCGCAGACCGGGGAGATCTCGGAGCTGGCGCATGCGTACTGGACGCGCAGCACCTGTGCCCGGTAGGCCTCTGCCTTCTGCGCCGCCGGGCATGTGCCGGACGTGACCACAAAGTAGTTCTTCCGCCACTCGCTCAGGTGCACGGCCCGGGAGCTCGGAGCCTGCATGGTACAGGTTCTGCAGAGACAGAGGGACAGCGTCAGGACAACGGAAAGATGGCATAGGTGACTTTAACCCCGCTCATCTGAAAGCAGGTATACGGGACCTTTCCCTTATAAGGTACACCTGTAAGGACAGGCCATGTGCAAGGGAGTACTAGTTACTCATACACTTCAAGCATTTAGGACAAAAGACCTGACTTAGTAAAGCCGTTACGGGTTGGACTGTCTTAGTGATAACTTCCCACACAAATGGGGAAAGCATTCCTAAGGAAAGGACTTAGCATTAATGAGCAGACGGGCGCCACCGAGGAGCATGAACTAGAGACAAACGGAACAAACCGAGCCAAGCCTGGGGTTGAAGTCTGGTCTCCAAGGAAAACACAGGAATGAGCTCAAGCAAGCCTCTGTCACTGCCGAGTCCTGGGCCTCACCTGTGAAGAGAAAGACATCGCTGAGTCAGGTCACACGCGAATATAAAAATGCCGACACTGCGCCAGCCCTTCAGCACCTGCAGGCGCCGAGGCTGAGACATGAAGGAGCTCCGGGGCTGGAACCGCATGAGCGCCAGCTCACTAGGGCTCACTCCAGGAGCACACAGGCCCAGTCCTCTCCTCGGGGACTGTGCATGGGCCCTCGGAGCTACTGCCAAAGGGCAGAGCAGCGCAGAACAGGAACAACGGCTTGCTGCGTGTTCCTCAGGGTGTATCCGTGTTCCCGAGGGTGTATCCGTGTTCCTCAGGGTGTTTCCATGTTCCTGAGGGTGTTTCCGTGTTCCTGAGGGTGTATCCGTGTTCCTCAGGGTGTATCCGTGTTCCTGAGGGTGTATCCGTGTTCCTAAGAGTGTTTCCATGTTCCTGAGGGTGTATCCATGTTCCTCAGGGTGTATCCGTGTTCCCGAGGGTGTATCCGTGTTCCTCAGGGTGTTTCCATGTTCCTGAGGGTGTTTCCGTGTTCCTGAGGGTGTATCCGTGTTCCTCAGGGTGTATCCGTGTTCCTAAGAGTGTTTCCATGTTCCTGAGGGTGTATCCATGTTCCTCAGGGTGTATACGTGTTCCTGAGGGTGTTTCTGTGTTCCTGAGGGTGTATCCGTGTTCCTGAGGGTGCATCCGTGTTCCTGAGGGTGTTTCCGTGTTCCTCAGGGTGCATCCGTGTTCCTGAGGGTGTTTCCGTGTTCCTCAGGGTGTATCCGTGTTCCTAAAGGTGTATCGGGGAAGGAGCACTTCACACAGAGGCCCCAGGCTCTCACTATCCCGAGAAATCACCTCAAGTATTAAAAAGGGAAGCCTTCGTGACACAGGAGCCATAAGCAGCGACACAATCTGCTGTAAAGTGCTTGTATTCAGATTTCGTCCCTCTAGGTATCTTTATAAGCCTCTGTACATCGAGGTGAAACTATTTTAATACAACTACAGAGACTGCAGCCTGTGGCCACATGTGGGAACTTACCTGCCAACCCGTAGGAAGATGTGTAAAAAGCTGTTACGTTTCCTAACAGCACTGCATAAAGGAAACACCGAGAACTGGTGTGTTTTAAAGTTTACCGCCGGAGTTACCTGTGACACACGTTGTGTATCTCCCATGGCACCTTACAAAGAATCCGTTGCCCTTGCAAGTAGGTGTTCACGAATCTTTGCTAAAAGCCGTCAACTCAGCCCCGGCTGGTGTGGCTCAGTGAGGGCTGTGAGTCTGGCTCCCGCCAGGGGCACGCCCCAGGTCCCCAGCCCAGGTCAGGGTGCGTGCCGGAGGCAACCCACGGATCTCTCTCACATCCATGATTCTCTCTCTCTCTCCCTCCCACCTTCCGCTCTCTCTAAAAATCAACGGGGAAAACATATCCGCTGGTGAGGATTAAAAATAAAAATAAACTGAAGGCTCAAGGAGATTTTAATTTGCTTAAAGCTGTAAAGTCAACAAAGAGTCAAAACTAGAACAGACATGTCCCGGCACGCCTCGTTCCCCGCACCATTTACCGTGCTAACCTCTCTGTGCGACCCTGGCGCCGGAGGGCGAGGAGCGGTCCGCCACGGACTCCTCTGGCGGGGGCACCCCTCGCCTTCACCCCCTCTCCGCCCCACGGCCACCCGCACCCGCTCCGAGGAACCCAGCGGCTCGCCCGGCACCGCGGACACGCCCTGCCCGCTGCACCGCCTGACCCGTGGCCACCGGCTTCCACGCCCCCTCCGTCCCCGGCGCCCAGACCCGGAGACGCCGCACCCGCACGGACAGGTGCACCGCGGGGCGTCCCCTTCCGGTGAGGACGAGCTCTGTCCGCATCGGGCCGCCCGGCCCCGCAGTCTCCGGGCCTCGAGCGCGCACCCCGGCCTGCGAGCTGCACCGGCGGCGCTGCACACCCGCAGCCTTCCAGACCCCAGCACGGGCAGCGCCCCCTGCCGGACGGGGCTTCCCACTCCGAGACCTCAGAACGGCGCCGCCACCCGGAGGCTCCCGGCCCAGCCCCTCCTCACAGCGGCCCCAGGCCCGCCCTCCCACCGGGTGACGGGGGACCGCGGTCCCTGCGGCTTCGGGTCCTGGCGGGAGGCAGGAGTCTACCCCGGCTCCGCCGCAGACACGCCGGCCCCGGCCCGGTTCGCCCGCCCTGAGGGGAGTCACCTGAGAGCACGGGAGGGCACGCCCCTGCGAGGACCGCTCCGGCCGCCGCCCCTCCGCCGCCAGGCCCCGCCGCCGCCCCGGAGGGTCTGGGCCCGCGTTGGCCTGCCCGCGCCTGTCGCTTCCGCCCGGCCCGGCCCCTCCGCGCCGCGCCGCCCGGACCCCCACACGCTGGCGGCTTCCGAAAAGCGCGCAGGCCGACTGCGCCTGCGCGCTGCGGACCCGCTCAGCCCTGGCCGAGCGTGCGCCGGTGCCGGGCGGGCGCGCGTCGGGGCGGGGCTGAGCGTCGGGGGGCGGGACTGAACGTAGTGGGCGGGGCCACTCGTCGGGGGCGGGGTCGGAGGCAGGGCTGAGCATCGGGGGCGGGGACTTGTCCGCAAGGGCGGGGCTGGGCGTCGGGGCAGGGACTGGTGGGCTGGGCGGGGTTGGGCTTCGGGGGCGGGACTTGCTCGTGGGGCGGGGCTGAGCGTCCGGGGACGGGACTGAGCCGGGCGGAGCTGAGCGTCGGGCTGAACGTAGGGGGCGGGGCCACGCGTCGGTGGCGGGGTCGGAGGCAGGGCTGAGCGTCGGGGGCGGGGCTGAGCGTATGGGGCGGGACTTGTCCGCAGGGGCGGGGCTGTGCGTCGGGGGCGGGGCTGGCCCGGCCGGCACACGTGGGCGCAGGAGGCTGTCTGGTTAAAGTGGAAGCGCGGGCTGTGCAGCTGGCGGGGTTACTTAGGACAAACTCTGCATTTCCCTGCCGAGGCGCTTCATCCTTCAAGTCCTTCGCAATGAAGATGCGCAGGCGGCGAGGGGGCTGCATTCAGAGGGTCCCCCAGGATGCGCTCCCCGGCCTCCCCTGCCCCCAGGGGCCCTGGAGGATGGCCCAGCGGCTCCGGAGGCCGGGCACGCGGGGGGTAGGTATAGGCTGAGATTGAGACTAAGTGGAGGGGCGAGCAAAGTCCCTGTGCGATGTGAGGGGATTGCTGAGCCGCCCTGCGCCCGCACACCCCTCACAGCCTGCCCCTGAGGGACCTGCCCGGAGCTCTGAGAGGCCTCCTGGCCACCGTGGGCTTTGGCTTCAGAGACAGGTTAGCGCAGTGGATGGCGTTTCAGACCCAACAGAACAGCCGCTCACAGCCAGCTCTGGGGCCGTTATGCCGCGGTGGCACCTGAGGTCTGGAGGGGCCTTGGGGTCTGAGGACCCGACCTCAGAGGTCATGCAGGCTGTCTTTCCATCTTCCATTCCGCCTTCTTCTCCCGGTGGGTTTCCCCCCTTCCCCCAGGCCTGGCCTCCTTGCCCAGGAGGGCCCACACACCAAGGCCGGCCTACACACTTAGAGCAGGAGGGGGGCACACGGGGATCTTTTCCCGGAAATTCTCTCTTGGAAAAAGGAGGAAGCCACTTCCTGGGGAGCCAGGAGCCTTCCTCTCCCTGTCCCGGCTCAGCGGTCCTGGGGTCTCCCTTCCTGGGAGAGGGACTGCCTGGAGGGGAGGTGGAAAAATGACTGTTGAGCAGCAACTAACACCGTGACGGCCACATGACGGTAAAAGCCACCCTGTTCGTGGTGGGCCTCCCTGTGCTCCTTCATCCTGCTGTCTATTTATTTAAGAGCTGGAGTTGTCTCCCAGTGAGCCTTATATGTTGTTTCGGCATCGAAAACCACGCCTGACATGTATGACATGTATGACACGCTCCATAAACATAGATGAATGAATGAATGCTGTTTACAAATATCCAAGGATCCCGCACCTCTGGCCACTCTGAAGGGTACGTCCACAGTATCACCATCAGCGGGCACAGCGCACGACAGGAAGCTCCCCAGACACACGGCATTGCTCTTCCGATAGTTTATTGGCCACAGGGCGGAGCGCAGTGAGGCCACAGGACAGAACACAGTGAGGCCACAAAACGGAGCGCGGTGAGGCCACAGGGCGGAGCGCAGTGAGGCCACAGGGCGGAGCACAGTGAGGCCTCAGGGCGGAGCGCAGTGAGGCCACAAAACGGAGCGCAGTGAGGACACAGGACGGAGCGCAGTGAGGACACAGGTGTGACTCCAGCCTGTCACCGCGGCCTGCCCAGGAGAGGACCCGGGAGGCCCTCCCCACCATGGACAGCCCCAAGAGCAGGAAGCACTATGATTGCCTAATTAACAAAGCCACAGCCAAACGACTCGGCGCTACAAGCCGGGATTGCTTTTCACGTGGAAATAACGTCTCCACCGACGAGAGCCGGGCAGGCGGCAGGCGGCGGCTGGCAGCTGGAGGGAGGCGTGCGAAGTGTGCGAAGCCGAGGCTCGCGTCCACGGAGCGGGTGGTGTTTATCCCATCCCTCCGGCTCTCAGGCACACTTCTGTTCAGCTTGGATCTCTGCGGGGGAAATGGCGGGAACATATGGCTGCGTTAACACACACACAAGCCAAAACCGGTGTGGCTCAGTGGATAGAGCGCCGGCCTGCGGACTGAGGGGACCCAGGTTCAATTCCGGTCAAGGGCATGTGCCTTGGTTGCGGGCACATCCCCGGTGGGGGGTGTGCAGGAGGCAGCTGATCGATGTTTCTCCCTCTCTATTCCTCTCCCTTCCTCTCTGTAAAAAATCAAAAAATATATTAAAACACACACACACACACACACACACACACGAAAGAATCAGAATGTTGTACACGTTGCACGGCACAGAGAAGGATGTGTGAGAGCCTGTGACCTGGGTGGGAGCAGTCACGTTGTTCGAGGTCAGAAGACGGTCCCGCGCGCCCCCCCTTTACCCCCTCCCCCCGTCACAGCTCCGCGCCCTTCCTCTCGCAGCCCTGACCCCGGCTTGACACGGCGGCCTCCGAGACGCTCAGGGGCAGCCAGGGGTTCAGCTCTCCATCCCTCCACCCTGAGTCTGTCCCCGGGGCGTTGGCATTTACTCAGTGCTTTGGATGGTTGTGAAGGCAGGGTTCCTTTTTGAAGTTGTGCTGTCAGCTGTTGCCGTGTGTGTGCACGGTGGGCAGCCTCTGGAGGGTCCCGGCAGCATACCCGATGTGCGGTGTTGTGACACCGTGCGCGGGTGTAACAGGATAGCCGCGTGGCGCTCCGTGGGATGCACTGCACACTGAGCGCAGCTGCTAGAGTGTGTGCTTCTGGGGCGCCCAGGGCGAGACAGGACGTCCCCTCAGCGAACGGGAGAATTCGGGGGGCGGGGGCGGGGGTTCAGACAAACACCGCTGGCAGTGTTCACGTGTGGCTAGGAAGTGAGCCTGCCTAGCCTCCCAGTAGCCGTCACCGCCGCTCCTCCCGGCTCACCTGTCCTCCCGCGGGCGGCCAGCAGCGCCGTGGCCAGCGCCTGGATGTGGGCCCAGGCCCGCTGCACGTGCACGGGCTCGGCTGCGCGGGAGCAGATGGCGAAGCGCAGCACGAAGCGGTCCCGCAGGCGGCAGGGCACCAGGTGGATCTCCCGGGCACCGTTGATGCGGTCCAGCAGCTCCTCGGTCAGCTGGTTAGGACCCTGGGCCGAGGGAGGGACTCAGTGAGGCCGGGCCGCTGTCCCCACGGACGGACAGCCAGCCAGCCCGCCCGGGCGCAGCCGGGCTGAGGGCGGGCTAAGGACGGGCCCGGCGGGGAACGTGCCACGCGTCAGGGCTGCCCTTTCGTGGCTGGCCGGCCGGCGTGGCACAGGGCTGAGCTCAGCCTGGGAGCCAGGAGGTCAGGGTTCGATTCCCCGTCAGGACACAGGCCCAGGCTGTGAGCTCCATCCCCAGTGTGGGCGGTGCAGGAGGCAGGCGGTCCATGGTTCTCTCTCATCATTGGTGTTTCTCCACCCCTTCTCTCTCTCTCTCTCTCTCTCTCTCTCTCTCTCTCTCTCTCTCTCTCTCTCTCTCTCTTTCTCTCTCTCTCCTCTCTCTCTCCTCTCTCTCTCGTCAATAAAAAATATTTAAAAACAAAAAAGAGAACAGATGGGCATGGACATACCTTCAGCCGGAAGCAGACCAGCCCCAGGGTGACTTCCGCGCAGATTTCGAAGCGAGGGTCTCGCTGCACCGCGGCCTCGAACTCGTGGGCCAGCCGCACATGCTGGAGGGGAGGGCGTGTCAGGGCCCGGCGCACCGCACACGCCGTTCTCTTCAGCGTCTGTCACCCCCTCTCTTGCCCCCGTCCCCCCAGACAGAGGGCCCCTGGTGTTACCACGGGAGAGGGGAAACCCGCCCACCCCTGTCCTGCGTCCGACCCACCAGAACGCTGCAAAGAGGACTGAGAATTCTAGAAAGGAGGGGTGGGTGAGCAAGTGCCCAGAGCAGGCTGTGCCTCGGCCCATTCTGCAGATGTGGAGACTGAGGCTGAGCTGTGCCTTGGGGCCGGGGCCCAGCTCCGGGCCTGCAGAGGCCGCGGCTGTGCGTGATGCCACGCGCTCGCCGCCTCCATGGAGAACTCATTCTGCTCCTGCGTGAGCTTGCGATTGCCCGTGGGTGCGGAGTCAGGAGCTGACCCGGGCAGGACTGAGCTGAGAAGGTGGTCTCGGTGCGTGTCTTTCTGGCCTAACCCCAGGCAGCCAGCCTGGTGCCGGTGCCGGTGCCGGTGCTGGTGCTGGCAGGGGAGGGGCTGGGGCCTCTGAGCAGCATTTCTGCTTAAAGTGTGGTTGGGGCTGAGCCCCCATTTAAAGGCGCAGTTCCCAGGCACATGGAAATGTGGTGCCACCAGAGGGTGCCAGAGACCGAGCCTGCAGGGGCCTGGAAGGCTCCGGGAGCACTCAGTGGCGGGCAGGCTGGCGGGCCCCTCCTCTCCTCGGCGTCACCTCAGAGGGAGGCTGGTGTCTAACACGAGGCAGCAGGTCCGCCCAAGAGCCGGGCTGCAGCCGGGATCGCGGTGGAGACTTAGCCCAGCACTCCGCTCCTCCCTCCGAGGCGCTGAGCCTCATGGCGTCTGAGAGCAGCTCTGACCCTCAGCCCCACACGCTCCCCACACGCGGGCCGATGGCGGCTCAGCAGGGAGGCCGGCCGGCCCTGTCTCAGGACGGCCGGGACACCCTGTCCAGCCACAGGCCCTGGGACGCGGAGGGGACGGAGGCCACGTCACCCGCTCTGGAGCCGGAAGCTGCAGGCGCGCCCCTGCCATGGACGCCGAGGACCTGTCCCCCACGGGGCCGTGGCCAGGAAGGACACGGGGTGGGAGGGACCTTGTGCGAGCGGCAGGGGGGCAGGGGGAGGGCAATGATGGCCTCCGCTTTCTCAATCGTTAAAAAAAGCAGGTGACGGGCGTGGTCCGTGGCTGAGCATCGGCCGGT